TTGTTTTTCCTACTACTCAAGTTCTTTGGCACAAGTGAAATAGTTCACATACTGCAGCTTTTTTCCACGAAAATCTAAATAATTTGCCGAAACGACTTCCAGACGTTGTGATGCTGCCTCTTCTGCAACTACACACAACGTTGTAGGGACCAGTTCTTTCCGAATTCTTCCTCGTTTTTGTTGTTCGAATTCACGATCAAGGTCCACATCGCCGTATTATTTCATTTCAGGTATCTAACTAACATTCCAAACGATGACACTAGGAGAAACTCAGATTAACGTTGTGTCCGAGAATAAGGAAAATATGGTAAGTTTGATTGCCTCGTTAGGTTTCGATGTTAAATGTTTCTTCTTCCAGGATACCAGTGAAGCCGTTTCAGAGAAGCCTATAGTAGACGTGACTAGTCACGTTGCGCAAATGGTGAGTTTTTACGGCTATGGTCTTCTTCTTGTTTCATTTGATGTAGAAACAATGCAAAACTACGAAAAGAAGGATAGAGGTCCAAGGATTTGAAAGTGCGTTTTATCTTCCGCCTTCAGTTGTCTACACACGCCACCAACGAGGAGGAACCACTGCTGAAGGAGAATCCGAACCGATTTGTGATTTTCCCTCTCAAATATCACGACATTTGGGCGTTCTACAAGAAGGCTGTTGCGTCGTTTTGGACCGTAGAGGAGGTGAGGCGTTACCTATAGAGTTGTTCTTACTGTCTACAATTTGCCTTCACTTCATAGGTCGATCTCGCAAAGGATATGGCTGACTGGGAAAAGATGACCGACAATGAAAGATTCTTCATCTCTCGTGTGTTAGCGTTTTTCGCCGCTTCAGATGGGATTGTCAATGAGAACTTGGTACGTTTTGGTTCCTGGATCGTTAAAAAAATTGTGGAGGTTCAGGCAGTTAGGTTTGTATGTCTAACGAGTAGATATTCTGGTATGCAGAGAATAGCCCTTATTGGATGCACTTGATCTGCTTTTTAGGTGGAACGCTTTTCCAAGGAAGTTCAAGTCCCTGAGGCTCGATTCTTCTACGGATTCCAAATTGCTATAGAAAACATCCATTCTGAAATGTACAGCAAGTTAATCGAAACGTACATTAGGGATGAAAAAGAAAGGTTAGTGTTTATTCAGTGGTTCAAAGCGTTGTGAGTTAAATCAAGTAAGTGGATTTGAATTTCAGGCACATTCTTTTTAATGCGATTTTCGAGTTCCCGTGCATTGCTAAGAAGGCAGATTGGGCGCTCAAATGGATTGCAGATCATAACGCTCCGTTTGCCGAGCGTGTCATTGCTTTCGCTGCTGTGGAAGGTGGGAAATTCATACTGAACGATTTTGAGTCACACATCTATATCTATTTTAGGAATATTCTTCTCGGGGTCGTTCGCTTCCATTTTCTGGCTGAAGAAGAGGGGTCTGATGCCGGGTCTTACCCACTCGAATGAGCTCATTTCGAGGTGTGTTGAAACGCTTTCAGGACACTAAGTTTTTGGTACTGTTTACTTGAGAGGGTCGACGGACTACTTAAACTCAGCCCTTTAAACCGCCTCTGCGCTCTCTCGCGGGTCCCTCTCCTCTCCAAGGCTTAGTCCTAGGGCATTCTCTAATCGTCTGTGCTCTAGCCATCGCGGCAGGACCATTGAGGAAAAATCAAGTAGTCGAGAAGGATCTGCCAAAATGGTTCGTCCGTACTGATCAAGTCCAATTTGCGCAAGGAGTTCTTTTGAGTTACGGACTGCTAGGAGTCGCACTTTTACCCAATTTCTTCGCCGGCTCTTATATCGCCTAGCCTCTGGTGTTGGGTGGTAGATTGTGGAATCGTGAGCTAAGAGTTTAGGATGGACAGAGAAGGAGCTTCGAGGTGGTCGAAAAATATTTCCTCAACTGATTTGAAAAGAAGTTTGCTCACCCATTTTAGAGCCCTTTTCTCTCTCAATCTCATCATTTGGCAAATGTTTGTCACTTTTCCATTTTTTTAAGCTCCTCACGTCTTAAGTTCGAACCTGTCAAACGTCTTAAGTCATCGAACCCGTCGATTTAGGGACGAAGGCCTTCCATCGAGACTTCGCATGCCTCATGTATTCACACATCAAGAACAAACTACCTCGTGAACGCATCTACTTCATCATAAAAGAAGCTGTTGCGATTGAACAGGTACATCCTATATATGTATGATATCTTTTGCACACTACTCACTTGTTTTTTGACTGATGATTCCCTTAGCTGCGGGGGAGCGCTTCTTTTCTTCTTATTTCTTAGTCGGCTACCTCAGCTTCCTCGTATCGCTTGTGCAATAAGCACGTATTTTCAATCGAAACCCTTGCAGGAATTCTTGTCCGAATCTCTACCAGTAGATATGATTGGAATGAACTGCCGTTTGATGTGTCAGTACATAGAATATGTCGCGGATCACCTGCTTGTCGAGCTTGGTTGTGAAAAGGTTTGCTCTCCAGTGTGTGCTTTCAGATTTCAGTCCGAATTTGCTATACCTATCCATTCAGATCTATAAGTCGAAGAATCCTTTTGATTTCATGGAAAATATTTCCATTGATGGAAAGACTAACTTTTTCGAGAAAAAGGTGAGTGGCACCTGTTTTGTTTGCACAATAGTGACATCAGGTGACTGTTACTCTTTCAGGTTTCTGAGTATCAACGTCCCGGTGTGTTGAGCACGGAGAAAGAGAGACAGTTCCAGCTTGATGCAGACTTTTAATTTGTTCGTTTTACTTAGCGAATATTTTACTTCGGGTTTTCTTTAACCGTGTAGTTTTACTCACCTACCATCAGTTTGTAACCTCGTTTTTCAAAAGTTCTTACTTTAGTTACAGTACTGGGATTAGTAGGAGACTTTTTTCATGATTCCTTGTTAACTTTTATGCTTTTAACAGTACAGTTACATAGACTCCGAATTTTTGTTTAACATCAATAACGATCTCTTTTTTGATTACGTGAATATGCACATATTTTTTTATTTTTGCATGAAATAAACTTATTATTCGATGTGGTGTTTCGACGCGTGAATTCAGTATGGCTGGTCGAGCTACCACTTGAAATTGTGGTACGGCAGCGGTGCTTTATATCAAAATTCGAAAGGAATCACGGATTCTTCTTTACTGTTTCGATTCCGCAATAATTGGAATGTTCGCTGAAACTTGTAAGCGAAACACATGCCTATACATTGAACCAATATTTGAAGGTGCTGTTTTTCTGTCACAGTTTGGGTTCTGTTAGATCTGTTTATGCTTCTCAAAATTTGATTGCTACGGACGGCTGATCAGGAAATGTTTGAACATCTCAATGGTACCATGAAAGGAGGCCTAGGTAAATCGACATTGTTAACGCTGATTACAAGTAATGCGACACTAAAGCTGCTACGTGACTCTGTAAGAAAGTTGTGAACCTGAAAGTTGCAAAAGAACGCTAATGATGAGGTGCGACCTATGTGGAAACACGATTGCTTCTTAGCTGGAGCTATACTATTAGGTACCGGATATCTTAGTGTCGTTTTTTCACCACGAGTTTCGGACCACCAATATTTTAATTCAGAATCCAGGGAGTGAAACAGCATATTCATCGAATGACTCATTAGCACTTTCCCATTTACCAGTATGAGTGGAAACCTCGTACGATTAAAGCTAGGAATTTTTTGAGTCGAAAAAGAGAGGTAGGTCGGTTTTGACATCATCTGACAAATCATCCTCTCTCACTTGCTAAAAAGTTAGGCCTGGACAAAAGAAGTACAGTTAGTTAGAGTAGGGTCTGCACTACATGTATGGTGGAAAAGTTAAAACTTACCAGCTCAACTGGACAATTCCCGGAGTCTTTGCCTCATTGTCCCTCAAAATACGCACCTCTCTTTGAGCACACCTGTTAGTACCAGATGATACATTATACGAAGTTATACGAACATTTATTAGAATTTCTTGTGCAATCAACTTCGTTAAAGCGTTTGTGCATCATCGATCAGTCACTGCTAAGGTGTCCTACCATTTCAGCACAAGACTGGTGCAGCCCCGTCTCGACTGATTTAACTAGGGCCACCTTTTTGACGACGATTGCGGGCATCACTTCAAAGACTTCACTGTCTTTTGAGAAAACTGAAAAAACCTGAGCATTTTAAATGGTAGTATTCCCCAATGCAATGTTGGTTTTGGGGCGGAGGTAGCTCTCAGCAAGAATTTTGAAGCATTTGGTACACACATGCGAATTTGCACACTGGACCCAGGAATTTTCAAAAAAAGTATAAAAATTGGGGGAAAGTTAAATTGTGAACCAACAATAGAAAACAATAAGCAACATATTTCGCAGTATTAATGAGCAAAAAGGACTTTCTGATATTGATTTTCCATAGTAATCGGCCCCAAAACTTCCTGAACTCAGAAAAGCGACACTAAGATATCCGGTACCTAATATAAAGGTGTGTGAGTGCCCTTACGAATATGAGACTCGTTTTTGGCGCAGAGCCACGGCGACTGTGATTCCACCAGGTAAGCTCGCCTCAGTAACGTTTTTTGCCAACTTTGAAGGCTCATAACTTTCTTAGGAAGTTCACGTAGCAGTTTTAGTGTCCATATTTGTAATCAGCGTTCAAGACTCTATCGATACATCTAGGTCTCCTTCCAAAGTTCCATGGGAAGTTCAAAGCATTTACTGGTGGTGATATTGCCACCGCTCATGACAGGGTGAAAAACAGTCGAGGAAATCCTCAACCATGGCTCTATGCTATGTAAGAATAGTCTCGGGCTCGAATGTACGCAGACAGAACAGACGGCTCGCGCCTGGCGGGAGTGAATGTCCGTGCGGGAAAGCGTGACTGAATAGGCAAAAATCTCCGACGAGTCGTCGACAAATCCCTGACCGGTTTTCATCCTGGTTCTTACAAACTGAACTTAAAGAGGCGAGGGTTTTTGGCACGCGAAAATTATCTGTGTTTTGGTGTACATCCGAGTACTATCAAATATATCCACCCAATGCTAAGGAATAGGGAACTGAATACAATAGTTCTGGAGGAGAGCGTTTTCTGCGACGACCGCGAACAATCTAGGGGTGGTGAGCGATAGAATTTGCGTGAAGATACTTGGCGCACTCAGTTCGCCGAATGTCACAAGAAATAGGAATCAGGGAGACTCATTGAGACTTACTAAGGAGCAAATTGCTACTTAAAGCTTACTTTCACTTCAAAAATGGTTGCTGGACCTTCCATCAGGAAGAAGCCTCATTCCAAAGGCAAAGGTGGTGCAAGAATTGGTGCAAAACCAATTTTGTCGGCCTCATCAGCTTCAACGAGTGGCAGATCAGCACCTTTGATTTGAATTCGATGTATTATCTTAGGATCGATGCTGGAAGCTGATGCTTGCATGGAGCTCCACATTTCTGGGGATTCTTTGAAGAAAGTGCTCCGGAATGTGTAGAACGAATCTTACGCACCACTGCGTGCCACAGTCGATGGTTCTCCGTCGGTGCTCAGGGCCCGTGTAAATAACAGCCAAGGAATTCGGATGAAGGTCGCTATAGCGTTGGAGTGCCTTGTAGTGCCATGAGAACTGTGTAAATGCTGCAATAAAATAAAGAAACAATACTGCGAAAGTGATCTCGGAGTAAAAGGCGCTCACGGCTTAAGGGGAGACATGAACCTCAAAGTTCAATAACCGGGTCGGAAAGGGGATGGGGTTATCACAATGAACCCGGCACTCATGGAGAGGGGAAGAAACATTGGGAAAAAACATCACAAATTGGCTCAACATGTCCTACAGAATCGCCTTCTCTGCGTAAGCATGCTCCTAAGCAAGGCTAAGCAGGGCGACCCTACGTTTGGTACAAGTACCAAGGGGGGGGGTCGTGATAGTTTGGTTGAAGTGTGTGGTGGGGAGGGGAGGATCGTACTATTTGTCCTTTAGCACGAAAATTACATGTACTGCCCGTCGCTCGCGTTTTGAAAGTGGAAAGGTAAGTTGTGAGAAAAGGGGAAAAGGGGTCGCATGAAGTCATGGGGTCTGCTGTGAAGGAGGGGGGGGGGGTCGTAAAAATTAAAAAGTCCATATGGGCGTTGGAATAAAAATAAATTCCTAAGCTGATGAATTGGTGATACGAAGGCATAACAACTAATCCGAAGTATCTGAGGGAATTGAGGTGCTGCCCTTCTTGCCAGTAAACCTCCAGGTCTCCAATCCATCTACCTTGTCAGTTGCGGCAGTTTTGCAGCATGCATGACAGAATGTCCAAAAGCGCTGAATTGAACCCTGGGGACTGGTGTCTGGAAGAGTGTATCATGAGTTGTGGAGTCCCAATTCTCACGTCTCATTTCCACCAGTAAGCGCCAGGGTTCGAACCGGTGATCATCCTCGAGTGGTAAAGCGCTCATATTCCATACCCGTTCAATCTACGAATGCCTAGAAGGATGGTTTCTGGTGGCAACAAAGCCAACCAATTCACTAACGAGTAATTCATTCGATCCAGAATAATAAGGATGAGTATCTGTGCCGTTGTACCCATCCCTTCTTTGGTGATATCGTTAGCCGATTTGAATTCCGTGTGGCACTTGTAATGGCGATGTTGGCCTATACAATGACTTGCGGGGGCCAGCCGATTGTCAAGTCAGTGTTTTTTTATCCTCCCAGACAAGTCTGGTACCAATTAACCGACCCCGGAGGGATGGAAGGCTTGGTTGGCCCGGGCGACTCACGACCCAGGATTTGATCCCGGACCGCTGCGCGTGGCAAGCAGCGCCACTTGCCATCAAGCCACTTTCGCCCTTTCATTTGGCATTCGGTTGCTGATATTTTGAAAAGATAAATGGCAAGAAGAATAGGCGTTGTTCAATCCCGTGCCATAAGGAGCCACGCATCAACTTTCTTACACATTATCAACTTTCTTACAAAGCTTAGGAGCATTTGCATGAGTAATGGTCGTTCTTTCGATTATCTCAGGTTATGGAGCTGTCGCGATGAAGCCTGGGCTTAGGTTTGGACCGGAGTAGGCATAGCCTTGGGTTTGTTGCGAGCAGGGGTGTTCTACTCGGAGGCGTTCTGAGCTGACCGGAAGATTCGGTGCTCACCACTATTCGCATGGGTGCTTCGCCTTTGAACTTTCAATGCCATCTGGTCCGTTTTTACCCTCTCAGTCTAGTCTGCTTGGCAACGTTACCTTCTCAAGCGTGATATTTTCACGGTTCTGGGCAGGGCTTGATCCCACTGCTATGCGTGCGCTAGCAGTTGAATTTCCCTTACTTTGATTTTTTGTTTTCCAAAATTTCTGTGAAGGCCGACAAAGACGCTATCTCAAGACACAGGGGCATCCTCTAAGATAACCCTAGAAGCGGGCAGGAACTCTGGGAAAAAATCGCTCACGCACTCTGGAATCTCTTTTCCCCACCTAAGCCTTAATCCCGTTTTCACTTGAAAGCGCAGTTTTACATGGTTTTAAACGCATACTACTATAACCTCATATCTTGCGATAGAGCCGCCGATAGATTCATCGGACCATGTAATAGTTTGGAATGACGTCATTTCGGGCAAAGATAGATGAGAGTCGAATTGTTTAGTAGGAGAACGCACTGCGGCAGTTGAATTGCCGATTTTCTTTACGACTTTGCCCGTTAACGAGTCCCGCGAGGCTCCTAAGGTGATTAGTATCGAACTGACATGCCGTTGGACCGGCTGGTCTCCAAGTCGCTTCAGCTTGTTCCTGTTCGATTTCTGACCACCGCCGTTTCAT